TGTGGGGGGGGAGGTATTTGTGAATTTCCTGCATTGTGCAGGGGGTTGGACTAGATGACCCTGGAGGTTCCTTCCAACTCTATGATTCTAACTCTCCTCTAATTCTGCCATGCTGAATGTAACCTGCATTTGACAAAGATGACTTTGGTTCCTGAATCCTTATTCAGTGTGTTAGTCCATAGATTCCCCAAGGCTGCTTCTTGCCAGCTGCTTCATTTCCTTTGTCTTTGACTCGCTTTACCTGGTCATATGTGAAGCTACCTGTTTTCCTCCCCCGAGCTCATATTCCTAGCAAACAGGTATTTTGCATTAATGCATTAATGCATTAATTAGGATTCATTTTTAGTTGCCAGGCTGCAAAGCAGCATGCAGCTCCCGATCTATCAATTAGTTAGAAGCGAAGGACTCTTTAATGCCCCTTTATGCCACGCGCACCAGTGCTCCACGGGGGAAAGTACAGCTCGTAAGGTAGATAGGTCAGCTTCCTTTGTATCCTTCCTGTTGTTCATTCTTCTGCTGTCTCTGTTGATCCAGACTGCTACTCTCAGGGACTTCCATCCAGCAAACTCTTCTTCCTGCTTTTTTGTTTAACCTCCAGGAGGGCATGATGTGCTCGCAGGATCTCTGTCTGTCTTACCTTAGATAACAATCGAGGACATCCAGTCCTTCCTAAAGCAAAAAGCCTTGTGTGGACTTTACTCCTTAGAGAGCAGCATCCCCCTTCTGTTGCACAAACCAGTTCTAAAGCCATCATGTATTATTTTTATAAACTTTGTGTAAAGTTTGCAGTTCTTAGTAATACACCTGTTACTTCAGCACCATTTTTTGCTCCAAACACAGTTCCTGTGATGGCCTTCTAGTTCCAGTTTTTTAATATATTGATGTTTGGGGACTGGTGCCATTTGAGGCATTAAGGCCTGCTTCCTATCTGCCCAACATATAAATGTGTAAAGAAACATTTATTCAAGATGCATGTCTCCAGAATTCTTTCCACATGAGGGGGGAGGGAAACTAAACAAGGAAAAAACTTACTTTGGAACTTACTGCCTCTTAGGGAATGGAGAACTCTGACCTGGTTGGCTCAGAAGCTAAGCAGGGTTGGCTTTGGTTAGTAATTGGATGGGAGACCACCAAAGTTCCCTCTAAGCTGTGGAGTCCTGTGAGCAAAAATTCTACTTTGTGAGCGACTGGCATGAAAGTTGTGAGCGAGTGATTTGGCTACTGCATAAATTAGTTTTCTCTGGAGCCCTCCTTCCTGTGCGAAGACAAAAATGTGTGAACCAGAGGCTATAAAACTGTGAGCTAGCTCACACTAGCTCAGCTTAGAGGGAACACTGGAGACCACCAAGGAGTTCCAGGGTTGCTATGCAGAGGAGGGCAATGGCAGCCCACCTCTAAGTCTCTTACCTTGAAAACCCTGTGAAGTCACGGTTTGTCAGCTGCGACTTGACAGCCCTTTACACGCACACACACACACACGGAACTGGGAAACTGATAACGCAATCCTGAACAGCATTACACCCTTTGAAGCCCATCGACTTCCATAGACTTACAAGGAATAACTAGGGTTGCCTAGCCTGGCAACCAGTGGGTGACTAGGTGTGGTGGAGACATGGGGGGGAGTGGCCATCAGCAACAGAGTGACATCACTTCTAGGAAACCCGGAAGAGATGGCTTGCCTCTCTTAGAGCTGTGGTTTAATATGGAGTTTCCAGCGATTCCTGGAGAACAGTGATGTCACCCCTGGGTTTCCCCAGAACTGACATGAAGCCATCATCAACAGGTGTAGCTGTTTAGAAGTGCAAACACAGGTTGTGCTGTTCAGATAAGAAAAGGCAATGTGCCTTACTTCCAGTCTTCGACATAGCATTGAATCCTTTAGATTTTCAAGATTTTAGATGGTTGTTGCCTACCAATACCAATACTGTCATAGGGCAGTTAAAATCTTGAAGTAGAACTAGTATAATTCATGGGTAACAGTAAAAACAGCAGAGCCCTGACATTCCTCAAAGTTTTCAGCCCCCACAGTCACCTCAAAAGGACTCTGGTTCTTTAAAATTTCACACTACTGTGCTGAGGGAAGAGAGCATAAAATATCTAATTCCCGCTTGGAGTGGCCTTCTCAAGCAAGGTGGCAAATATTCCGTAATGCCACAAGAGGCAAATTTTATTACATTTTCTTAGTTTAAATGGAAGCACCAACTTCGTCTTTTCATAAGGAAGTCAGCAAGATGTTAACAATATTAAAGATACATCTGAATGTAGCAGGATGGGGTTATACTGATGGCTAATATTTAATGTTTTTAATCTGGGAATTTTGTCTAATTTCTGCTCTATTTTTCAATTCTATTTATCTCACTAGAGACACCTTGCAGAAGATATAGGAGCCTAGGAGTTCTTAAGAACAGAGTTACCATGCGGTCCTAAGCAGAGTTATTGATACCCAATAACCTTTCATTAAAATCTGCCCCCATAACTCAATGAAAATGTTGAGACAGTGTGTGACGACAATAAAAAAGGCCAATGCTATGCTCGGGATTATTAGGAAGGGAATTGAAAACAAATCAGCCAGTATCATAATGCCCCTGTATAAATCAATGGTGCGACCTCATTTGGAGTACTGTGTACAGTTCTGGTCACCACACCTCACAAAGGATATTATAGCATTGGGGAAAGTGCAGAAAAGGGCAACTAGAATGATAAAGGGTTGGAACACTTTCCCTATGAAGAAAGGTTAAAACGCTTGGGGCTCTTTAGCTTGGAGAAACGACGACTGAGGGATGGCATGATCAAGGTTTATAAGATTATGCATGGGATAGAGCGGGTTGAGAAAGAAGTACTTTTCTCCCTTTCTCACAATACAAGAACTCATGGGCACTCCATGAAATTACTGAGCAGTCAGGTTAGAACAGATAAAAGGAAGTACTTCTTCACCCAAAGAGTAATTAACACACTTGAAGTTCACTGCAAGTCTGTTGGAGCTAGGATTGATTAAAGCTAAATCTATGGTAACCCAACGCCTAATAGATATAGAGGCTCAGACAGAAGAAGCGCTCTTACCCTCAAGATATGGAGTCTTAAAATCCTGGACAGGTTTTGCTCCCGCTCCATATCTTTCTAACATCACATACGGCGGCTATAGATGGGCTTTCTCCAGAGCACGTTTTGATGCCCTACCCTCTAATCTGTTATGAGGAAGGTTTTTGCGTTGGCCTATATCCCAAAGATGCTGCCCATGTACAAATTCTGATATAGAGTCAGTATCACATATTCTGTTACATTGTAATTTTTATGCTAGGGAGAGACAGCTGTTAATTTTCCCATTGTTGTCCAAATTTAAACCCTTGGATGTCCAGTTGAAATTTGCGAAATTGAGGATTTTAATTTTTTTGCTGGAAGACCGGAAAGAGAGGAAAGCTTTAGCGGTGGCAAAATTTTGCTTCCTGGCCCTTAAAAAGAGGAAGCTTGTACATTAGATAGCAAGTTGATGACAAATTAGCATTGTGTTGTATAGTTTTAATGATATACTGTATTCGTTTTAATGTTCTTTTATATATCCATCTGAATTTTATGTATTTATAGTGTATCTTACATTATTATTCCTCTAGGTAATGTTTTATATTGGCTGGTCGCTTGACCGTATAAATAAACTTGAACTTGAAGTTCACTGCCACAGGAGGTGGTGGCGGCTACAAGCATGGACGACTTCAAAAGGGAATTAGATAAGCATATGGAGCAGAGGTCCCTCAGTGGCTATGAGCCACAAGGTATAGATAGGAACTCTCAGTCTGGGGTAAGTGATGCTCTGTATTCTTGGTGCCTGGTGGTGGTGGGGGCAACAGTGGGAGGGCTTCTAGTGTCCTGGCCCCACTGATGGACCTCCTAATGGCATCTGGTATTTTTGTCCACTGTGTGACAGAATGTTGTACTGGATGGGCCATTGGCCTGATCCAACATTGGCTTCTCTTATGTTCTTATGTAATAAAATCAATAAGCTTAGAAGGGTATGGGTCTGTTTAGGACTGCATGCAGTAAGGAACTGAAATTTCATGATGTAGTTAGCTATGCAAGGAGACACCACTCTGCCATAGAATGGGAAGAAGTTACATCTGTCTGATCATAAAAATCCCCATGAGGAAGGTTTTTCAAATGCCTTGGGGATTCCAACTAGTAAGGGAACTTTAGTTTAATTATTTATTTACCTCATTTATATCCTGCCTCTTTCGCCAGGGGCTTACATTGTTTTTCTCTAGTTTCTCCTCACAACAACCCTGTGAGATAGGATAAGGTGAGAGTATGTGACTGGCCCAAGGTCACCGTGCAAGCTTCCATGGCAGTGTGGAGATTGAAACCTAGGTCTTCCAGATCCTAGGCTGACTTTAATTGCTTCACAATAATGGCTATAAACCAGGAGTGGCCAAACTTGCTTAACGTAAGAGCCACATAGAATAAACGTCAGATGTTTGAGAGCCGCATGCCGTGAACAAATATTACACATACATTTTTATTGAAAAATATGCAGATTTGCTTTTTATTAACATTAAATGAGACTGCCAAAAATAAAAACAAAAGGGGTAAAAATAGATATTGATAATTGTATTTATTTGTCCAACGATATTTGTAGGTGGGGAAGGGCGCCTTGAGAACACATTTAAAGTTGCTTTCTTTCTCTGCTCCCCCCTGCCTCAAGCCTACCCAGGAAGGAGAACTGGCTGGGGAAGGGAAGACCGACCGGGGAGGGGAGGCACGCCTCCCCTTCGCTGGCCCAGCTGCCCTGCCGGGAGCCACACAAAATGTGTGAAAGAGCCGCATGTGGCTCCCGAGCCACAGTTTGGCCTCCCCTGCGATAGACAATATTTTTTTGTACTTGGGGGGGGGGCTTTGCCCTCATCTTCAGTGTGACCCCCTTTCCCTCATTAGTTATTAATTGAGCAGTTAGGCTGGGTCATCATGGGCATAAGCTGGATATTGGAGCGAAGCACACAGAAATATATCCTTACGGTTGTTTCTCCCAGTCCTTCAAATTGTTGCTGTCACAGGGGCTGTTCAGGTGCACTGGACTAAGCATGAAACAGAATGGTGAGAATGTGCTCAGGTCGGTGGTCCCCTTAAGGATCTCTGGTCCCCAGAATTTGTTCAACTCTTGCCCTGGTGAACACATTGTAAGTAGGTTATATCGGCTGTCTTTTCGTTCCTTTTATGCACATGATACTAGTACCTAGCAGAACCTTAAGAGAAACAAATCCTCAATATCTTCAAAAATGATTTACATTTTTTTGGCACTGTCAAGACTTTGACAGATTAATGGAGTTTGATTATTTGGATCTTTTGCATGAATGAAGAAGGTGGGGGAAATAACATCCAATGACTATATTCAACATGTTGGTCACTCTCTAATGTGTCTTTTTGTTCAGTGTTTTGCCCAACAAATGAAGAACTATAAAAATTGGGATGGCTTGTCTCTCAAGACCTGACTAGAGTTCTGTTGGTCTTGTTTGCAACTTTACTGTAATTGCAATAACAACATAATGCCTAAAATTGGAAGTACACTAATATTAGAAGTGTTGCTGAAGCCATTTTGAAATTTCTGAGGAGATTGTTATTGCTTCTTTTAAAATCCCAGAACTGACCCCTAAAGCTTATGAGGAGGGCTATAGTGTGGCAATTATCTTTGCTATCGGAAGAGTTTCTCAAGAAAATGGGGATGTAAAAACTGGCCTAGAATACGGATGTTTGCAAATTTATTGCTGAAGTTGATTTTTTTTAGTTTTTGAGATAGTAAAGAGAAGAAGAAATATGCAGTAGGTTAGTTAAATAATTAATATTTCCTTCTATTTGTTTACTTATTTAGAATATTTTAATATCACCTCTCCAACCTGCCTGGGGTGGCTTACAAAATAAAAATAATAAAAACAAAACATTTAAAAGATATTAATTAAAATCCAGCATTTTAAAAATCCCAGCCCAACATAAAAACATAACACCATAAAAACAGATCATGGATGGCTTAAAATAAGTTCCTAGACAAAATATAGTGTTAAAAAAAAAACAGCCCCTTAATTAAAAGCTTGGGTGAAGAGAAGCATTTTGACCAGGTGCGTACAATAAAGAAATGTAAGCACTAGGCAAGCCTCAAAGGTAAGGGCATTCTCCAAGTGAAGTGCCACTACTGAAAATGCCCTGTGTCTCATTGCCACCAGCCTCACTAATGAAGGTGGGGTTACAGATAGCAGAGCTTGTGAGGCAGATCTTAACTGACGGGTTGGACAATATGGCACCACTTCTACCTCCCCTCAATGTACGTTCACCGGGGCACATAATCCAAAATCCCATCAGCGGCAGCCAGCCACTGGTGGGTCACAGGGAGACATTCTAGTCTATTTCTAATTTCCAATTTATGTTGCAGCATGATATAATCTGGAGGTCTTCTGTCAGAGTCTCTGTTATCTTGACTAGTATTCTCATTATACCTTGATGGTATGCTGTACAGTCTTATGCAGAGTTAGTCCAGTCAAAGCCCATTGACTTTAATGGATTTAGCCCAGAAAATTGTACATAGGATTACACTGGTAGTGCCCTACATTTTCAAGGCCAAAGGAGAAACACAGAAGAACATATATATATATATAGTTTAGGCAAATGGTTCTGTCTTGACGTACCCTTAAGGTTCTTGTTGGGGAGCTGACGACTGGATGCAAATGCAAATGAAGTAACAAGTTAGGCACCTTTTTTCTCCTTCTCTCTTCTATGGTGAAATCTGTTGGAAAGGAAGGACTTTGTGCTGCCTCTTAGCCTCGGACTACACAGCAAGACTACAAGAGAGTCAGAGAGATAGACAAGCTAGGACACTAAACATCAGTTCCTTCTCTCTGATGTGTAGCTTGCTACTCTTTGGGAAAGCGTCCTTCCTTCCAGCTTCAACACCTTCTTCACCACACAGTGTGCTAGTCTTCTCCATCTTGGCACAATGAGAGCATGACATGCCTCCTGCATCCATCTAGTTAGATTAGAGAATCTATCTCTTTACTATCCTGTCTAAAATGGCGTTCCATATAACAAAGAACTTTTTATTAGTTTTACAAATATAAAGAGACTTGGTGTAACTTTGCTTTGGGACACCACACAGTGACCAGATGAGCTCTGCTGTGTTGTGAGCCTCAAGCACTCTGCTAGGCTACTGGAAAATTATTCCAACAAAATCAACAATAATTGACCTGCATGGTGGAGCCTCAGTTCTTTTCTCAATTTCCAAACATTTTCTGCTCTTAAATAAGATTCCTTTTCCAAACCACAGGACTACACAGAAAAATCCCAGTTCCAAAATTTTTGAGCTCTCCTCTGTTGTTCATTTAAGATATCTCCTCCACTAGTATGCTGCTAATAGCAATCAAATGCATAGTTATAGGACGGGGAAAACTTGTCTTAGCAGTAGTATGTGCGAAAAGGATCTAGGGGTCTTAGTAGACCATACACTGAACATAAGTCAACAGTGTGATGTGGTAGCTAAAAAGGCAAATGCCACTTTGGGCTGTATCAACAGAAGTATAGTGTCGAGATCACGTTAAGTGATGGTATCACTTTGCTCTGGTTAGTCCTCATCTGGAGTCTAGTTCAGTTTTGGGCACCACAGTTTAAGAAGGATATAGACAAGCTGGAACGTGTCCAGAGGAGGGCAATGAAGATGGTGAGGAGTCTGGAGACCATGTCCTGTGAAGAAAGGCTGAAGGAGCTGGGTATGTTTAGCCTGGAGAGGAGACGACTGAGAGGTGATATGATAACCATCTTCAAGTACTTGAAGGGCTGTCATATAACGGATGGTACAGAGTTGTTTTCTGTTGCCCCAGAAGGTTGGACCATAACCAACAGGGTGAAATTAAATCAAAAGAGTGTTCAGCCAAACATTGGGAAGAATTTTCTGACAGTTAGAGCAGTTCCTCAGTGGAACAGGCTTCCTCAGAAGGTGGTGGGCTCTCCTTTGGGGTTTTTTAAACACAGGCTAGATGGCCATCTGACAGCAATAGTGATTCTATGAACTTAGGCAGATCATGAGAGGGAGGGTAGGAAGGGTTGCATCAGTGCTTAGTTCTTGTGACCCTTTCTTACACACCCAGGGAAATGCTGATTGCCACTTTGAGGTCAGGAAGCCATTTTTCTCCAGGCCAGTTTGGCTAGGGATCCTGGAGGAGTTTTGCCATCTTCTGTACATGGAGCAGGGAGTCACTGGGTGTGTGTGTGGGGGGGGTCGGGGAGGTATTTGTGAATTTCCTGCATTGTGCAGGTGGTTGAACTAGAGGTCCCTTCCATCTCTATGATTCTATGGACTGCCTTTTAAAGCACCTCCCATTTCTTGTCTTCGGTATAGGCTCCCTTCACATCCCTTTTCTTTAGAAGTATATTCATATATATGACTAGTCTACCACCAGCTGAATCACTTTACCACCCCATCTCTACTGGAACAAATGTGCGGAGCAGGCTTAGTTTGGCTTAAATCAGAGGGACTTACTTATAGGTAAAATAATTAAGAAAGAGGGGTTAATATTTCCAAATAGTCCCATTAAGCACCCCCCTCCCCATATTATGAGTAAAATGTGTGTGCAAGATTCACAAATGAGCCAGACTAGACTTGGTGTGTGAACCAAAGTAAGTTGCTAAAGTGTTCTTTGCTCCCCCCCCCACCCCACTAATCATATGTGGGGGACATTCCACGATACCTTCTTAATGGGCTGTACTGCAATAATTTACCACATTCCACTGTTGTCAGTGAAAAATGCAAAAGCACAACATGGTACATCAAGCTTATAAATAATGAACTAGGACTGTGCAGCCGCTAAAATAACTAGACAGAACATAATTATTTGTTTTTCTCTTCTGAGCACAGTTCGCTGCTTTTCTGGGTTCATCATGTCTCAGGAAAGAAACAAACAATGACCGTAGCAGAAGAACCATTAGCAGTATTTTCTTACACCCCAATCCTAAATACTTAAGAGTGTGTACAACTTCCTTTTTACTTTCTTGTCCAGGATTTGGGGCACATGTTTAGCATATATATTCCCAGCCGGTGGATATTCCATATGTTTATACCACCTTTCCACCAATCAGGGTCCTCAGGGTGGCAAGCATAAAATCAAAACACTTGAACAATTAAAAATACATTCAAAATTATAAAATAATTCAGCTAAAAATACATACACAGCAGAAGGAGGGCCAGTAACCACTATTGAAGGTATGCCAGACAAAACAAAAAGTCTTCACCTGATAGCAAAAGACACCGCTAGAGGGAGACAGACAAATCTCCCTGGGGAGGGAGTTCTAAAGTTTTGGTGCCACAACGAAGAAGGCCCTTTCTCAAGTTGCAACTGAAGTAAGGCCTCCAAAGATGTCCAGAATGTATGGATAGTTTCATAAAGGAGAAGACAGTTCTTCAGCTGCTGGTGTGACCTTGGGTCAGTCATAAGTTCTTTCAGAGCTGTTCTCTCAAGGGCAGTTTTTGAGAGAGCTCTCTCAGCCCCATCTACCTCACAGGGTGTGGGGAGGGGATGGGAAAGGGATTGTAAACTGCTCTGAGACTCCTTCAGATAGTGAAGGGCAGGGTACAAATCCAATCTCCTCCTCCTCATCGTCTTCTTCCTCCTCGTCTTCCTCTTCTTCCTTCTTCTTCTGGTCCCAGGCTGTACAGGGCTTTAAAGGTCAATACAAGTACTTTGAATTGAGCCTGGAAACAAATTGGAAGCCAGTATGGGTGGAACAAGACTAGCGTCATATGGTCCCTATGACCTTTCTCCAGTCAGCATTTCTCAAGTTGCAACTGAAGTAAGGCCACCAAAGACGTCCAGAATGTATGGGTAGTTTCATAAAGGAGAAGACAGTTCTTCAGCTGCTGGTGTGACCTTGGGTCAGTCATAAGTTCTTTCAGAGCTGTTCTCTCAAGGGAAAGGGATTGTAAACTGCTCTGAGACTCCTTCAGATAGTGAAGGGCAGGGTACAAATCCAATCTCCTCCTCCTCATCGTCTTCTTCCTCGTCTTCCTCTTCTTCCTTCTTCTTCTGGTCCCAGGCTGTACAGGGCTTTAAAGGTCAATACAAGTACTTTGAATTGAGCCCGGAAACAAATAGGAAGCCAGTATGGGTGGAACAAGACTAAAGTCATATGGTCCCTATGACCTTTCTCCAGTCAGCATTCAGCGGCATTCCGTACCAACTGACAGTCTCCAGACAGTCTTCAAGGGCAGTCCCACACAGAGCTCATTGCAGTAATCAAATCTATATGTTACCAGGGCATGCTACCCCTGGCAAGATTTTTTTTTTCTGCCCAGAAAGAGTTTGCAGCTGGCTGACCCCTGGCCACCTGTTTTTCTAACAGGAGGCCAAGTCCAGGAGCACTCCCAACCTATGAACCTACCCCTTTAGAGGGAGTGCATCACCATCCAGAACAAGGGATAACCCATTTCCTTCCCCCACCAATGGCACTTCTATTTCATCATGATTAAGTTTCAGCTTGTTAGCCCTCATCCATTCAAAAACTGCATCCAGGCAGCTGTTCCCAATTTTCAAAGCCTCCCTGGGATCTGCTAGTAGTGCAAGCCAGAGCTGAGTGTCATCTGCATATTGGTGGCAACTCAACACCACCCTGGATGACCTCTCCCAGCAGCTCTACATAGATGTTGAAAAGCATGGGAGACAAGGCAAAACCCTGGGGAACCCTGTAGGCCAAAGACCAAGGGGCAGAGTAGCAGTCCCCCAGCACCCCACTCTGAAACCTACCCTCACGTTAGGGCTGGGACCACCACTGAACAGTGCCTCCTAGTCCTGAAAGGTGATCCAGAAGGATACCGTGATCTATGGTATCAAAACCTGCCATGAGATCCTGGAGAATCAACAGGATCACACTCCTCCTGTCCCTCTCCCGGTGCATATAATCTATCAGGACAACTATGGCCATTTCAGTCCCATAACTAGGCCTGAAACCAGATTAGAATGGGTCTAAACAATCCACTTGATTCAGGGATCTCTGAAGTTGGCCAGCCGCCACATGTTCAGTCATCTTGCTCAAGAATGGTACATTTGAGACCAGGTGGTAGTTATTCAACCCTCTTGGGTCCTGAGCAGGTTTCTTTAGGAATGGATGCACCACTGCCTGCTTTAAGGCAGGAGTGACTCCCCTGTCTCTCAGGGAGGCAGTTCCTTTCTCCAAAACCCAGTCTGCCAGCCACCACCCCCTGCATATTTAAGCAACCAGGAGGGGCAAGAGTCATTCGAGCAGATGGTAGGTCTTGGACTACCAAGAATCCTGTCGTCCACATCCTCAGATGTGATGAAATTGTGGATGCAGCTCCCGTTTATTTAAAAAATCCTATGCACGAGATTGTACCAGTGGATTGTAGTGCTCTTAAGCTGCTTCCAACTTGAATTTAGAGGCAAAGATCACTTACAGAAAATTTCTAAGCTCTTATCAAGTGGATAATACTCTCTTGCTACTTACTAAAAGATGGCTGATTGATTGAGGTTGCAGTTTCATTCTTTCCAAGGGAGTAATTTTAGTACAGTTTAATAATTTTTTAGGTCAGGGGAGGGTGTTGGGGGTGGCTGAAGAGCACTTTAAAAAACTTTTTAATTAGTCCGTGCATCAGGCCTAGACTGACTCACTTGTGAATCTTGCCCACAAAAATAGATGGACTTTTAATTTGAATTGATTCACGGCGCCTGTTCAGGTTCACTGATCTTTTCCATCTAAAGTTCTACTCCGATTTTCTGATCAGTGGAAAACACTAAAACCTCATCTCATTCAAGCTGAAGGATTCTGGAACATAGTGTTGCATGTGTGTGTAAAGGGCCGTCATGTTGCAGCTGACGTACGGAGACCCGAAGAAGGGGTTTTTAAAGGCAAGTGATTAAGCAGAGGTGGTTTGCCATTGCCTTCCTCGGCAGAGCCTTCCTTGGCAATCTCCCTTCCAAACACCAATCCTGATTAGCTTCCGAGATCTGACGGGATCGGGGTATTCTATACCATTCCACATCCCCATAGTAGTGTCTTACCTATTTTAATTGAATGCTGCTGCTTCAGTGTGTCAAGAAATCTTTTTGGATGCTTGGCAGTCAGGAGGTAATGATGAACTCACCTGACTGCTCTGCTCAGGTTTTTGTTGCTGGCCAGAGCCATGTTAGCAATCTAAACTTAAAGATGATAAATTCATAACACAATTATTGTTTGCATGGCTGAAATGGGATCGGCACATTTTTAAATTTGTTTCTGAGGACGTATAGCCCCTCTTTTTCTTTGTTCCCCATGATGTTCGGTATGTTTACAGGTATTTCATGCAAAAAACCCAGCTGATTTAATCACAATTGGGATTTACAGAATTATATTCGATCCCACATTCTGCTGGAGGATAAGGCAGCCACCACCCACGAACAAGTAGACAGAAGCAGGAGAGGACTGGGAAGTGAAAATGGCCCTGGAGCAAGCCCAGCTGAACAACCCCTGCGGTGCTCCAAGCCAGAACTTCAAGTGCCACTGCACTCAGTCAATGGACAATGTCTCACCCTTTGCCTTATCCCACAACATGGCAGCGGTAGAGGAGAAGACATGCGGTGAGCTGATATTGATTACCACTGGCAGAGTTGATGGGGATTGGCCTCCAGTAGCCCTGCCAACAAAAGTCCGCATGGTCAAAGCAATGGTATTCCTAGTAGTACTGTATGGCTGCGAGAGTTGGACTATAAGGAAGGCTGAGCGCCGAAGAATAGATTCTTTTGAACTATGGTGCTGGAGAAGACACTTGAGAGTCCCTTGGACTGCAAGAAGATCAAATCAGTCAATCCTAAAAGAAATCAACCCTGACTGTTCCCTGGAAGGCCAGATAATGAAACTGAAGCTCAAATACTTTGGCCACCAAATGAGAAGGGAGCACTCGCTGGAGAAGACCCTGATGCCGAGAAAGATTGAAGGTCAAAGAAGACGGGGATGGCAAAGGATGAGATGGTTAGACAGTATCATCGATGCAACGAACATGAAATTGAGCCAACCTCAGAGGATGGCAGAAGACAGGAGGGCCTGGCGGGAGCTGGTCCATGGGGTCGCAAAGAGTCGGACTCGACTGTGCGACTGAACAACAACAAAAGCCCTCTAGGGCAGTGACCTACCAGGAAACTTCCCTCTAAGTTAAATGGCCATTCTACCCTTGGAGAGAAGCCAATTATTCATTCATATCCCTTGCAGATGAGGACTTGAACTCTGCTGTCGGGTGGCAACAGCTTTCAATCACCGATCAGGACTGTGTTGTGCAGGAGGAGGGGACTTAAGCCCCCTTTCTGTGCCATTTTCCCAACCTGAAAAGGCCCCAGGGGAGCCCACTATATGCCAAACTAGAGAAGTTTACCTGTACGAGTAAGCTACATGTCCATTTCTGCAGTTGGGCAAATAGCAGCTCCCAGTTGGAAAGTGATATAGGGAGAAAGACTTAACCCCTCCTTTCCCTGAACACCTAAGAAGTTCTGACACATCTGGGAAAAGAACACACGGTGGCTACAAGGACTTTGTAAAGTGTGAATTTTCCCTGAAGTGGCACATCCCAGACTCACGTTTACCACTTAAACTGCTGTTTGTGAGCACTAGGCCTATCGTTCAAAGGGAGAGTGAAGACAGGGATGACAGAAAGGTAGATGTAAGAGATGGGCAATTAATATAAGGTTTACTTGGTGGAAAGAATAAAAATAATGGAGCAAAATATTCAAGGAGCAATAACAAGATGGGGAAACTAGTGGGAAATCCATCAATTTCCACTATATTTATTTAAACTTTATTTATACCTGTCTTTCTCCCCAATAAGGACGCAAAGTGACTTACATTGTTCTCCCGTTCTCCATTTTATCCTCACAACAACTCTGTGAGTGAGGTCAATTAGGCTATGAGTGTGTGACTGGCCCAAGGTCACCCAGAAAGCTTCCATGGCAAAGTGGGGATTCAAACCAGTGCCTCCTACATCCTAGTCAGACACTGTGGGCGATTTCTCACTAGAGCTGCCTCGCAGCACAGCGCCGTTTGCCCCAACACAAACATGTCAATTTCACACCCGAGGCTGCGGGGCTGCATTTGACTCGGGGCTTCGCCCGATTTCCTCCGCAGTTTCATGATCCTAAAAAACCAGGATCACGAAACTGTGGAGGAAATCGGGCGAAGCCCCGAGTCAAAATGCAGCCCCGGAGCTTTGGGTGTGAAATTGACATGTTTGTGTTGGGGCAATACGAGGCAGCTCTAGTGAGAAATCGCCCTCTGAACCACTACACCACACTGGACTGCGGTCAGTAGAAGCAGAGGGCCAGACTTTCATATTGTCTGAAGAGCTCCTATAGCACTGCTGAATTTGTTTTCTAGCATAACAGTATTCTTCTGTAAAACATTTACTGTTTCCTCATGGTAAGATTGCTAATGTCTGATCTGCATCTATTAGAATCCCCTTAATTTAGGCTGCAATGCAAAGTTACTTCAACATATCTGAATCAATACTGATTTTTGACATTTTCTGAGTTAATGCTTAAGGAGTAATTCTAAGGAGATCTACTGGGAAGTAAATCACAATTTATTCAGTGGGGCTTACTCAAGGAAAGTGCCCTTAGGGTTGCAGCCTCAGGCTACAGTTCTTGGATTGTCTTAAGTAAGGGTTGGAGGCTAATGACCACTTAATCACTATTTTATAAATGTCTCCAGGTAAAATCTTGACTCTATTTGAGTCAATGAAATTTGATGAATGCAGAAATTTTTTCCCCCCTGCTAATATGCTACCCAAATCCTTGACGATAAAGTATTCAGTCTTGCGCTCCTGGCTGGATGATAACGTAAAGTCCCCCTCCCACAGTAGCATCCCCAGGAAAATGTATTGCTGTGAAGGAAAAATTGCCCTCTTTTAAAATCACTTTGAGTCCCCCTATTTTTCCCAGCATCCTCCTTGCCCCCCCTTTACCCCCTTTTTGTTGGCATTTTTTTCTCTGCTAGAAAAGGTCATGGCATTTCAAGGTGTTCACTTCCTTGAGAACTACTGTGAAGCCTAAACCCTTGAAGTAATGAGATTCATCTTCTTCCCTGTCAGTGAATTTCTGCCACAGGTGGAAACAAATACAGAAGCACCCACTCCCTAATATCCGTGACTGGACTGTAGTGACTTGGATATCTGGAAATTATTACAAAGGTCAGAAAAACAATTATCTGCCTGCTCATGTCATTCTCTGTTTGGTTTTCAGACTTCACGTTAGCAGTACAAGATTATTCAAACTTAAGAAAATTTGACTCCGTATTTACTTTAAAAAGGAAAACATGCGTCTCTCCTCCCAGTCCCTTAGTAAGTGCATATGTTCATTATTTAGACCTTTTAGGTCATCTTTAACGACAGAGCTTGTTCTGCAAAGGGGGCTAGAACTTTGCATGTGATTTGGCGTAGAGCACTTCTAAAGTATACTGTCACTGATGTGAGAAACTGAATCGGATGCCAAGCTGGTGTGAACATGGGTGAACTTCCCTGCCTCAGTCTTGTGTTGCAGGATTGTGTGGCTGGAAATTCAGACATGACATTGTGGCTTTGTCAGTTGCGAGTTTTTGACTTGGGTACAGAAACTCACATGCCTTTGGACATCTGGTGGGTTACCGAACCAAGGAAGGATGAGTGAGGGAAACAAAGTAGTGAGAATATGTCAGAAAAGGTTGTAAATAGCCTCTTCTGTGACCCTAGAACTCAGAGCCATGTGCAGCTAGAAGTGCAGGGAGACTCCACGTTGTATCAGATCAGAGAATCATGATTGGGCTGCTTGCAGTAAAATGGGGTTAAAGAGGAAACAGCCAGAAAGGCTATCCTGCATTCTCTGGCTGTCTCAGCCTCAGACACCCAGGCCATGGAAAATGACCCACATTTGCAGAACAATAACTGCTCATTCATCTAGAAAAATTCATGAATAAATTCATAAAAATTCATAAATAAAACTTTGTTGGTCTTAAAGTTATCACTGGATTCAAAACGTGTTCCATTCATTCATCTGTACTCAAGGGCTTCCCTTACAATATGGAACTTCCCAATGTACTAATCAAATAATCAGGCAAAGAAAGCTATAAATTCAAAGCAATAGTTTCAGTTCCTTTTAATGTTCCATCTTCTGATTTCTACTATGACAGCGTATAGAGGAATGAATCCAAAACTGGAAATACCTTTTTAATAAGGATGTTCTTTATTCCTGCCAGCTTTATAAATTAATTTTATGACGTAATTAAACAAGACCAGACACAACAGCACATATTCCCATCCCACCTGCTGTTCTTGAGAATCCACGTAGCTGTTAAGAACATGAGCTGGTAATTTCTGGTTCAAATTGGATCCCAGCCATGAACTTACCATGCAGCTCTTGGCAAGCCATGATTTCTCAACCCCTTCTTATCTATACAATGGGGATAATCATTATTATGCAGGGTTATTGTAACAGTTACCTGGGGAGGCTTTCAGTCATTGGATTCTTCTATCGGCATTCTGAAATGGTAGTATTAGTGGTCCTGGATGAAGTTGGTTTATTTAACCACAGACAGTCTTAAAACTCTGGTTTCACAAACTATGGACCTGATCTTAATCCAGGCTGGGTCTCCAGCATCATCTTCAACATGATGTAGGCTGGGTTACCAGTCAGGCCTCTGTGGTGGAACAGGGGAAAGAACAAAGGCAGTGGAGCCAGGATTTCTCAAATCCATCCAGAATCTGAATAATTATATATGAGAGGAATGCTGGTTTCACAAATACCAGTTATAACAAACCCTGGTTTTGTGTCATACCTGTGCTGAGTCCTAGAGGCAGATCAAGAGTTACCCTCTGCCCTCTGCCCAGAAGAGGATAAAAAGTAGTCTTAAAGGTAAAGGTAAAGGTTCCCTTCCTCGAAAGCCAGTCGAATCCGACTCTAGGGCTGCGGTGCTCATCTCCGTTTCAAAGCCGAAGAGCCAGCACTGTCCGAAGACGTTTCCGTGGTCATGTGGCCGGCATGACTAAACACCAAGGCGCACGGAACGCTGTTACCTTCCCACTAAAGTGGTACCTATTTATCTACTTGCTTTTGAACTGCTAGGTTGGCAGGAGCTGGAACTCGAGATGGGAGCTCACTCCGTCTTGCGGCACCCTGGGTCTCAAACTGCTG